GGAGATCTGTCTGAACACCTGTATCGTGTTCCTTTTGAATCCTTCAACAATATTTATTAAAAATGGTTGTTCTGGAACCAAATGGTTATTAGAAATACCAGTGGTGCTGCCTTGAATCTGTTGATCAGCAAGTATAAACTTGTATCACCAAAAAGCAATTCTTCTTTTTCACTTTAAACAGTAAGCTGCACAGTGAATTGCACTGTGCTGAAAGGATTGATTTGATTGGCTGCTGCTGATGCAACTCATTAAGAGCTGCAAAGAAAAAAAATGATTTCAGCGTTTGCCCTCTGCTTGGTGCTAGCTGCATGCTAGCAGAAAAGTTAGAGCTAGTGGGTTAGCAAAATGTAAAAATCTAATTATATCTGAAAATACAATGAAGTGGAGAAATTATGTCTGAAAATGTTAGTGATTTATGTGAACAAATGTTATATTCTAATTTTCTCTAGTATTTAAATGGTTTTACTTCTTGTTGTTTCATTTATTCCTACATCTCTATTGATTCAGCTAGCTGCATGAATTTAAAGTAACATCTGTGTGTTTAGGAACATTTAGTCTTCAAGTTCAAATACACTCTTTATGCTGCTGCCTCTTCTACTCAGGTCGCTATTTCACCAAACAAATCTCTAAAATGTCATTTTAAATGTTTGTACAAAAACAAAATGTGATAGAGCTTTGTGACATGTTTCAATCAGAACAGCCTTGGTAACACCAAAACACATTTTGTGCACTTCGTCTCCCTTCATATAGCAAGACATCTAAGGTCAGCTCTTTCAGCACAGAGTGTCTGGCTTTTCACTTTTGGTTCATTCCTCGACTCTGTATCTCTCTTCTCCTTTTAGTAATTCACATAAAAAACAGCAATCTGGATGAACCCAGTGACGCTCTGCAGGGTAATTAACTAATTGTGAGTGAGTAGAGAGACAGTGTGTATGTTAGAGAGAGTGTTAATGGAGACTTGGGGGGGCGCATGAGAAGTTTAGACAGCAAAACAAAAGATGAACTGAGTGAGAGACTCTGCAGGGGGGCAGTGATGTAAGACTTGAGGCAGAAAGGAGACTGAGAAGTAAAAAGAGAATGAAACAAAAAGGGGATGAATCAGTGACAAACTGTCCTTATTTAAATATTATGTTCATTTGAATAAGGAACCCTCCTCCCCTATCCTCATGTATCTTACTACTTTCCTCCCCCTCCCTTCTTCACTTACTCGTGTCTCTCCCTCCTTCATTCTGGGGCATCTGCTGAAGCAGTTGGCAGTCTCAGGTGTGTGTGTGTGTGTGTGTGTGTGTGTGTGTGTGTGTGTGTGTGTGTGTGTGTGTGTGTGTGTGTGTGTGTGTGTGTGTGTGTGTGTGTGTGTGTGTTCGGTTTTCCTTGCTCTCCAAACCCAATTCAATCCTACAACTAGAGCGGGGGCCCGGATCAAATAAAGCAGAGCACAGCTATTACAAGAAAACAGAGACGGGTAAATCCATGCTCACTCACAGAAGGGGGGGGGGGGGACTCTCCATTTAATGGAGGGTTTTTTTAACCCTCTAAGGGCAGCAGAGCCTTTACTACAGGGAACTTTGGTGAAATGTAGATGCATGTTTTTTTCTATTATTGCTAGTTTTTAGCATTAATATGCTTGCTGAAGCTACGCTGAAGTCTTATGCAAAACAAAAGGGACGTATTGAGTCTGCTTTATTTAGAACATTTTCACTCACACCCTCTGGCATTGCTGGACATCTAAAGACTGATGTGAAGCTTTTATTTTAGAGAGCATTGGCGGGTTAATTGGTAATTTGACATCTTCCAGATTACTGAGAGCTGTTGCTGCAGGCTGCATTGAATGGAACCGTGAGAGAGTGGGCGGGAGTCATTTTAGTCTCAAATGAAGGAGGTAAAAAAAAAAAAAAAAATCAATCTGTGAAAGTATGAGGTTAATGTGAAGCTGTCAGATTTTCCCTTCAAGACATAAATACGTTTACTCTTTCTCTCGGCATATCAGATATCACTGCCTTGTGCGATAATTTAATCAAAGCTGAGCATATTTTTGCGAATGCGCCCATGGTTGAGTCTGAATTTAAAGTCTTTGCCCAGGAGCTATATGAGGAAGTTAATGAGCAGATCAATGAGACGCTCTGAGTGGAGTAGCTGCAGACAGAGAGCTGATTCCTGTTCATTCTTCACAGTTACACTCAACTGGACCATTTGCTTTCTTGGAGATGATTTTTCAATTTTATTCTTAAACTGTAAAAGACCTTTTAGCCAAGAAATGTATCAGAGTTAATTAGTTAGAAGTGTAAAACTTAATACCACTTCCATTCTTGTTTGATTAGTGCCAGACTGCTTTAATTTGGCAAAGAAACGACCAGGGAAACTTGCCAGAAAATGACAAAGAAACTATGAGGAATTAAAGGACTTCAGTTTAACTATTTCATTTCAGATCAAATGTGCAGAATGCCAGAAACACATTAAGTGTGTAAAATGAACTTTTGTGTTATCACTATATTTGCAGTTCTGGCAAGACAAATCCATCACTTAGCAGTAAAGAGCAGAATCTTTTGCTAATTGAAAACCATTATATACTGTAAGAAAAGATCATGTCTATTCAGCAATGATTGATATATTACAAGACAATCATACAGTGTTACATCATAACATCTGATTAACTGAAGAATACAAAATGTCCTTGAAAAGGTCAAGTGCAGGATTCTAGTTTTTATTACTGCTGTTGGTTTCATCTCGTTACTTCTTTTCCCTGCTGTCGTCTTCTTATATCCTGCTTCTTTTTTTTCTGATCATGTTCCCATCATTCATGTCATAGGCGCCATCATGAGAATGTGTTAATATTTAACAAAGTGTTTTATTCCTGCTTAGCAACGTTAGCTGTCGAGATTATATGAGCTTTATCTCCCGGTGAACTCACCATGGAACGTGCAGGATGAAGCATATGGCATGTGCCAAACAACTCAAACATCAAATCTGAGCTGAACTGATTCTGACTGATTCTGACCCACCCTTTTCGTTTGTGACTGACAGCCTGTATGTGGTTACCCCATTAACAGCCTCTTTCTGACATGTGTTGATCACCACGACTTGCCGCCCAGCATCATTGTTTGAGCTCGCAGACTGTCAGCCCCTCCATCTGCTCATTTCTGCCACTTTTGGCTCGCAGAAAAGGCGACTGTCAGCGGTGGAGTCACAAAAGAGGAGAGAGGACGCAGGAAGCAGGAGGGAGGGGTAATGTGTAATTTTCTTTGAGCAAAATGATGGGCAAAGAAAAGAGGAGACAGGGAGGAGAGATGTATGGAAAGAAGAAAGAAAGAAATCACTTTTGATCAGTATTTATTATCTAATTATGCTCTTTTTCTCATCGCATTTGTTTCATCTAAATCTTACATTTTCTTTTCTTTTTCTTCTCTCTCCTTGTTAACACACCTCCTCTGTACTCCTCCCTGAATTGGTACATGTTAATTTAATAAACTAATTAGTCTGTACTTCAAAATATATTTGTAAAGTTATGAAGTGGGTCCCCAGGCACCCTGAAAAAGCTCAGCGTGAAATCTAATGATGCTGTTTGTGAGGTGAGTTTAATCTCTATATCGCTTAAGGCTGGTAAACTATTAAATCAAAAGCAGGTATGCTGCAACATGGATGAGTCTCATAAGACATATCACTGTGGGGTTTGTGTAATTTTTTTAACGAAAGAAACTTCTGAATGTCTGTAGTTTCATTGATATCAGTGCAAACACTCCAGACTTGTGTAATCTGTTTGACGGAGGAGAGGAGAGGAGAGGAGAGGAGTAGAGGAGAGGAGAGGAGAGGAGAGGAGAGATGAGAGGAGGAGAGGAGAGGAGAGGAGAGGAGAGGAGAGGAGAGGAGAGGAGAGGAGAGGAGAGATTGGCCTCCTCTCTGTGGGTCTCAGTAAGCTGTTCTTTTCATTCTGGACTCCCTCAATGGAGAGAAAGGAGGTTGGACACACAGCTGCAGAGACAGAGATAAAGGACTGAAGGAAGGAGCAGCTTCAGTAGATGCAGTGGAGGGTGAGGATACAAAAAGAAGGAGAAGAGGAGGGAGGGAGGGTAAGGAGGCAGAATAGAGAGACTTCAGTGGGAGGGTCATGGTGAAGAATCGGAGTGTGAGGAATATTATCAAAGAAAAATCACATGAATGCAAAAAGAAAGGGTGAGGAGGAAAAGTTTATCCACACCGCCACAGACACAAACATAAACCCAAACACACATCGCTCCTCTGATGTGATGAGAAATATTACACAGACAATGCTCCACAGCTGTATACAACACAGAGCAACATCTGGCCTACACTGTAGTACAATCATACGTTCAGGGTTTTCCAGCCTGAGGGGGGAATGTAATGGGTCAAAAGCTCAGTGGGAGCAGGAGAAATTTATGTTTGCATATGGGTGCAATGGGATTAGGGTCAGCTTTTTTCTCTTTTGAAATAGTGGACACGTTGTCCTGTGTTAGCTTTTGATTAAACAATTCTGATCCAAGCAAACAGAAGGGCTTTCTGAAAGGTTATAGATTTGAGATGCTGTCTTAATAATGTCCCCATGGTGTCCTGTCTATTATCCGTAATCTAAATTTAAAAAAAGAAAGTCCAAATACAATAAGATAAGGAGAAATGTAAAATTGTTTGAAATGGCCAAAAGACATTTTTCACTGAAATCACAACTTGCAAAGAGGAGCCAGAGTACATGTTGATTTGTTGTGATGTCATCATGTTAAACTGGCTTCAGAATCAAAAACTAGAGAGATGTATGAAAAAAAAATTTAAAAAAGAAAACGTCAATAATTGAATCCTTATTTTTTTTTTTCCAATTTTGCATTGAAGCGTGGCTCTACTGTGTCAGGCAGGGTTTCTGTCATCAGGTTCCTTCCAGAGATTTCATCCACAGCTCTCACACAAGCCTTAACAAACCCAAGCACCCAGGCAAACTGAACACAAAACACATCACATGGATAAGACACTGTAACACCATCAGACCTGAGTCCTACCTGAGCAAGAGGAGGCGGAGCTTCTTGGGGTGGAGTAGGTGGAGCCTGCTGCTCAGTTGAGAGCTGTTAACCGCCTAGAGCTGCAGTTTCTGGTTTTAAGTCTGGATCTCTCCACCAATGGGAGAGAAGCGTTCCAGGCGTCTGCGCCGTCTGTCCAGGTCCGTCTGTCTGCAGGTGATGTCACCATTCCCTACAAAGAACCACAGAGAGACAAAGAGATTATTTACACAAAGTGATCCTTTCTCTACTCGACAATGCAACAAGTGAAACTATCTTTCTTGATGTAACTCTTACTTTTTCTTGCTCAATTATCACTGCACTGTAACCACATTTTCTGCTAGGTTATGACATTATGAGAATAACCTTCAGCCTCCAAAAGAGGAAGTGATCAAAAAGGGAAGCCACAGTGACTCTTGTAATGTATGAAAACTTCTTCACTGAGGCTCTTTATAGTAGCGTGAGCAAGAAAACACAGACTTTATATCATAACATAAAACAACAAAAAAGAGACAATAAAACTAGAGATGCAGCGATCCAATTTTTTTCTGTTTCAATCTGATTCCGATACTGATTTTTTAAAATCATAATCAATAGTGTTATTAATGTTGTTGGTTTTATGAGTAAGCCTGAGCAAAGCTGTAGTAAACCCGGCATTGTGATGGCTTCACATACAAACAGGAAATGTGAGAGTTGTACTTGTGATCAGATAGAAAAGAGCTGTTCCATCACATCTGAACGTCTTGATGGAGATTCTATTGTGGGCACTTCTTGCAGTTCAGTCTAAATTTCTTTAAAGCAAGAACGTGTGGGTTGCGAATGTTTAAAATGCCCAACCATCTTTCTTGTTGGTGACATGGCTCTGCACAGTCCGATATCGCACATCACGTCATTTCCTGGCACGCACGTCAATATCAGCCTGATACCAATTAGATCGGATATGTCCCATCTCTAAATAAAACCAACATTATTGTGTTGTTTTATTCAGTGCTCTGCTTCTTAAACAATCCACAGCACACTTCTTTTAACAGGTTAGAATTATTGTGTGTCGGTGGAGTATATAATGGTTATGTTGCATGTAAGTACTGAAGCCATAGTCCTCATCGCAGGGGTCGGGGGTTCAAATCTGACCACGGCCTTTTGCTGCATCTCATCCCCTACTCTTGGGGCGCTGGTGGCGCAGTGGTTAGTGGGATTCCATGTATGGAGGCTTTAGTCCTCCAAGCGGGCGGCTCAGGTTCAAATCCAACCTGTGGCTCCTTTCCCGCATGCCATTCCCCACTCTCTCTCTCTCCCTGATTTCCGACCCTATCCGCTGTCCTATCTCTACATTAAAGGCAGAAAAATCCCAAATATAAATTCCCCACTCTCTCCTCCCAAACATGCCTGTCGCTTTTCAGCTGCCCTTACTAACAAAGGCAAAAATAACCCCCAAAATATCCTAAAAAAAGGAAGAAGAAAACGAATACAGACACTTTAGATTCATATTAATTGACACTACAGTCTGACAGAGTTTCCCAGATAATAGACCAAGCCCAATGTTCAATAGTAATGTCCTTTATACTTTAAACTGTTCTTTTAAACTTTAAAATGATACACACTCTCTCCCTGTTTCTCCCTGTCTCTGTCTCTCTGAGGACTATTCGGAACAAACACCCTTTCTATTTATACTCTAACACTCCATCAGCATGGCAACCACGCTTTGTTTACCCTCATGAGACACCGGTTTGAGGCGTGTGTCCTCCCTTTTTTTTTTTTTTTTTTTTTTTAAATATAGTCATTTAGATCTCTCCATGAGTTGGCTCTCATTCCACTGGACCAATTTTCATTTGAACAATAAAGTCTCATGTACTGTAGACTGAGACAGATTATGATTACAAGGGGGAAAAAAAGGCTTTAAGAAAATTGTTTACTTCTGCAAAACAATATTTGTGTTTGTTCGTTTTCCTGTTGTATTGGAGAAAGCTGGACAGATATTCTGCTATAACTTTGAAAATAACATGATGCTATAAATGCGTTTTCTTTTGAAGAACTCAGTCAAAACATGGGATTTCATGTGCTTTTATTCTGTTGATTAAAGTACTGATAACAAGTGTTAAATCACCGCTAGCTCCACCATCTGTAAGCCGGACTATAGACTGATAGACATGTTGTCGACTACGTGCTTCATATCATTTTTAATTTGTAAAATACCTACATATGGCAGATAGTAGTAACTAGTTACTGATTTGAAGTTACTTGCACAACAATCCTGATAACATTAGGTGTTTTCGGACCAAACAGTTCTGGGGACTTTTTGTAGAGGAACTACATCATGGGGAGTTCACTGAGAACTGGGGACTTTTTTTTCTGTCTGCATTCACACCGCCATGGTACTCTGAAGTATGTGCTAAAAAGGTTCTTCTAAACTGGGTTCTAGGAAATCAAAAAGTTAATAGTTCCTGAAGTGTGGAATTAATAAAAAAGGGGGAGGGCTCCAACAGGTCCTAGAACTATGAAAAAGTTCCTGTGGTCTGATAACGGCTATCAGTTCTAGGGCTGTGAAATGAATCCCAATGTCATGAGTATTTTAATATGAGCATTTACAATCAACACATTGTAAAAGTCTGAATTTATTGCAATAAATGAAAATGATTTCATGTTAGCAAGCAATGCCTGCTCAGTCAGCATGCAAACATTTTGGATTCTTCTGGAGTCAGGGGAATCAAAACAATGTAAATGCACTACACAGATTGTTCCCCTATCATGCAGGCCAAATGTGTACACACTATCGTTGGCAACTTCTCCTTTTCTACTCTGCAAACATCAGTTTTGGGAAATACATTTTTTTTGAAGCCCAACACAAAGTGATTCAGAACTTCTGTTTACAACTACTGCACTAATTAAGTAGGCTACATAACGGCAAACCTAGAGGTGACAACTTCTCAGGAATCAGGAATTCCCCCAGATGAAGGCAAGGATTAAGAATGCAGAAGCCCCTTGGCACAAAATCCTTAAACCCAACCTCCATTTGTCTTGAGCACATGTTTTAGCCAATGATATTTCACATTGTTATTATACGTGTCAGACAAAATTTTAGAAGGATGCATGAACAAATAGACTTTTTGTTTTAATAAAAAGGTCACGTAGGAGGGTCACTTCATCCTTGCGTGGTGGCGCCTGGCCTTGATGGTTATAATATCCAAAACTGTCAGGACTAAAATAGATTAGCAAAATATAGAATGTGTGGCTGTTAAACTCTTTGCCAACAGGTTAATGCCATCCACTTTGGGTCTGTTAGTGGGGTGGTGCTTTAAAGGCCCCCATTGGTCAGAGGCCCTGGGCCAAATCAGTTAAGTGGTTAATCTGTGTTTGCCCAGCTGTGAATTTTACTCTGTGACCATGTTTCAGAGTGTTTCTTGGTAAAAACAAATTGTACTTAAGTCCTTGATTTAATGCACAACCACAGAGAGACAGAGAGAGAGAGAGAGAGAAAAAAAAGCTTGTTTTCCTCATTTACAGTAACCCCGGAGGCTGTTACCATAGTGACAAAGACATGTCCCAAGGTCATGAGGCAAGGCAGAGCATTAAACCCTGAAACAAGACATCGCCGTGGCAACAACAAAAAAAAAAAATCAGGTCAGCTGTTCATGTGACAACAAGGCCCCAGGGAGAGAAACTGATACTAAAAGATCCCTTTTTCTTGTTTGTACTGAGTTCATAAAAACTCAACACACACACACACACACACACACACACACACACACACACACACACACACACACACACACACACACACACACACACACACACACACACACACACACACACACACACACACACACACACACACACACACACACACACACACACACACACAGGAGCAAGCAGGCATGTCAAAGCTGTAAACACACACATAAAGTACATACAGGATCAAGTCAGGCAAACTGCAGTCACAATGCAGAGTCCACCATGCAGACATTCATACTAGAGCTTTTGCATAGGTAACATATGGTACTTGCTATGCCATGCTGTTTGTTTTTATGTGATACCTGAACAAAATGATACATTATCCAGTTTAGCAGTTAACCTGTTATTGATTTTATTTAATTAATTCCTTCATTTATTTTATCTTTTTTAATTGTATTTATTTATTTTTCTACATATATTCATTTTCTTGTATTGCTTTATCTTGCTTTTAACTATTGCTGCTGCTTTTTTTTTTATATATATTTTTAGATCTTATATCCTCTTTGTTTCACATTGAGCACAATTATTATATTGTTAACACTTCCCTGTTGTGACTGTATGCAGTAAATGGTAGATTTATAGCTTTATTAGCATAGTAAACACACCTGCTGTGTCCTAACTACCAGCACGATGAAACTGTATTTTCTCACTGGAACAAATACATGAAAAGGGCTGTGGAGACTTTGCAACATGGATAATGGAAAATGCATGTGGTGTGAGCTGTGTGTTTCAATGGAAGAACGGATGAGCCTCAGGTACAGTATGACCCGTTCATCAGTCCCTCAGTAAGCAGAGCTCTAACAGCCAAGCCACCAAACTATTAGAGGATATAAGAGGACAGAAAGACCAAACAACAAGAGTACAAATGTGTAAAACACAAATATCAATCATACTCACAATATAGAAAGTGAGAGCATAGTAATAAAGCTTGAAATATTGATTCAGGAAGTTGTTTCAAAAAATGTATTCTTGACTTCTCATTCACCTCTTTTTTTCAGATGTTTCAGTGTGTTTAAACATTCCTGTCAATCAATTTTTTTTTTTTTGAATGACTACAGAGTTGACACCAATAGAAGGACAAGGGCTTCCACCTGGGTTCACCTTGGCAATCTATTTTTTAGAGAAATAAAGATTTGTTCACACACACGCACGCACGCACGCACGCACGCACGCACGCACGCACGCACGCACGCACGCACGCACGCACGCACGCACGCACGCACGCACGCACGCACACACACACACACACACACACACACACACACACACACACACACAGCAAGGTTTTTCCTCCTATTCAGCAGCTTAGAATTCAGTTCCCTTTCTGTTGAACAACACACTCAATAGTTCTAGTAGCTTGAGTCTGTGTGTGTGTGTGTGTGTGTGTGCGCGTGTGTGTGTGTCTATGAAACAGGGGCCTGCCCCTTTCTGTCTGCTTTACTATTGGTCCCTTGCCCGCTGTCC